GCGTTCTATCATCTCGCCCTTCGTGTCTGTTTTGGACACGGGAAGGCTCCAGTGAACGACCGGGCTATCCGAAGAGGTGTGCTCGAAACGGACGTGGGAGGCCTTGGCGTTCGCGACTTCAATTTCTCGCATAAGGAACCAGGAGCCACTCAGGACCATGATGTAGTCGTCCTCGACTTCCTGGAAGCTGGGAGAGTCCCAGATGGTCCTCAGTAGGGTAAGGTCGAACGAGTCTTTGAGTTTGGACGGGCCTAGCCCGCGCTCGATGCTCCTCACAGCGTCCTTCATGCTGTTAACTCCACCTCAATGGGAATCTCGCCATGGCGAACGACGTGTTCGCGTCGGGCTGCACTTGACTGGTTGGCCTGTGCGGCCTCCAAGGCTCGTTTGAGGCTCCCGCCGGTGGAAGGTGCACACCGAGGGAGGTCGCGACGCTCGCTGGCGTCCGAATTGGCCGACTGGCTCGTCAGCCACCTCGCCAGAGGGACCTGCAGCATGGTCTGTTCTGCGGAGCTCAAGCCGAGGTCAGTCCATCGGCGGCGATTCGCCGCCAACTGTGAGGGGGTTGTCCATGACCATTCCACTAGAGGGGGCAGGATTCGAAGGACGTCTGCGATTTCGCAGGCCGCTGTCACGGTGAGCCACGTATCGTTTGGGCCGACCGACATGGCTGCTGAGTGAGTATATGCACAGAGGGTGCAACGAGCAAACAAAGGACGGGATGTAGCTGTCGGCGATCGACGATCGACACCAAGTCACCGATGCTAAGGTCTGGCACGTGGTGTCGGGTCCGTCCTGTCCGTCTCTGACTGGGTTGCCAACCGTCGACTGTCGATCGAGCGGGGTTTTCATACCGATCCAAGGCGCTGGTGCGTCGCTCTCATGGCGACTCAAACTCGAGACAACGGCGAGCCGATTCCAAGTCGCCGGAGTCCTGAGTTGCCAAAGCCATCATGGTGGTGCTGATTGCTTCCACCTGCCGATTTCGGCGTACCAACGACGCGCGGCCGATCAGGTGTACGTCCTCCAAGTACGCCACCAGCGTGGCAAACATGAACTCAATGCCCCAAGCATTTGTCAGCTGGGCTCCGCGGCGAAAGCGTCTGGCCACTGGGATGCTCTGAGAGGTGACTGTCAGCCACTGTTCGAGGCGGCTGTGGGTCCACGTGGCCAAGATCTCCGTCAAAGGCCTGGGCACCGTTCCAGGCGGGCTGTAGAAGTGGCACACGTGCTGGGCAAGCCGGATGGTTGATGGGTGGGCTTCATCAGCTGTATCTCTGGCCAGCGTCACTGCGGCCATCGTGATGGGAAGGATGCCGTGCGTCCTGTTGTCGATGTACTGGTGGCGGCTGACGTTCCATAGGCATTGGAGCACGTCGTACATGCCGTCCCATTCTCCAGGATAGGAACGGCCCCATCCCACCAACCATCGCGCCATCTCGAGCGCCATTGCGTTAGGGCCTTCGAGGTCCGTCATCGTGGGTTGTCCAACCCAAAAAAATTCCTCGAGCCCACTCTGCGGTCGTGGGCTCTTCGTGTCACTGCTCACACATTCTGTGTGCTACACTACACAAGTTCAAGAGAGTCTTGAGTCTTCATTGCTCCCCTTCCTCCCTCCTCCCAGCCACCTTCACTCGCTACCACCGAACCTCCAGGCACCACTCCATGTTGGTCATGCGTTCCGCCAAGCGGAGCACCTGCGCGATGTGGCCCCACCCCGGTCCCCTCCACAAGAGATCACACGTGCCCTGGGCGATGTTGGAGCCATCGTCCGTTCTTGCAACCTATTTGTATGATTTTGTATGCAAGAAAATCTGATGTCTGACCCACCAAACAGCACCATATCGTCAATGAGGGGCTCGCCCTCGCCTGACCAGAAAGGTTGGAGAGTCCGAGGGTGCTGTTCATGTGCATGTTTTTCTGTTGAAAGGCCACTCGGAAGCCCCTCAGGAACTGAGGAAATGATAGGAAATGAATTGAAGCTCCCTTTTGAGGTGGGCGTCGGCACAGTCTGAAGGTGGCCGTGACACCTTCTCCCCAGAGGATACTGACTATAGAGCTGGATTGCACAGCGGAAGATCCCAACGTACCAACACATACTTAAAAAAGCAACTTCTCTTCCTGGTTGTTCAAAGTGACCCTTAAAATTCCTGGCTTGAGGTCACTTAAGCCCTTTGAAGAAGCTGGTTGAGAAGCTGTTTTCTCTCAGACTTTCCCGTATCTGGTGACAAGTAATTCTGGCTGTCACTGTCCATCTTGAGGATCCTTCCATTTGATTCCTCCAATCAGACGCTCCACGGATCCTCTCACCGCCTCTCGGCTCTTGGGAACCCCACGGATTCATGCCTCTCAGCTTCATGGGCGTGATTTCGTTCACACGCCCGAAGTGGAGGTTCACTCAATGCTCGCAGAGGCTGCACCTGTCGAAGCAAACCAGCCAGGCTGCCCTCTCGAGGCGCGCTGCCGCGACGGCTCGACTTGAGTGTTGTCTTCACTCATGGTACAGCATGGCACTACACACTCTATTTGGGTTTAGAACATGGCACCAAATAGCCGAAGTTCGTGGGCACTATTCGAAGGATCAGCTTAAGTTTCGACTCACATCTTTAGCAAGTGGAGACCAGCAACAAAACATCACCCTGATAGAAGAAAGAGGAGAGTATATATATATATATAGCTCCAGCAGAAACAGCGAAAATGCCCTGCGGCCTCATGTGAATGAACAAACACCTCTACACACATACGACCTATATTCACACCTTGCAAGTTGCCCAAATGCCCATGCAGTAGGAGCTTCCGGCCAAGCCACGACTTCTCGCCTCTGCATGTCATGTCTGGGATCTGACTCCCTCAGTTCTTGTTCCATCTGTTCTATCGTCCAAGCGGGGAAACCAATCCCAAAAACAAAAACTCTCCAGGCTATCCACTGACTGAGTCGGTGGGTTTCCTTATCAATCCCCGACCCAGGACCCATTCACTTGGCCTTTGCGGTGTCTGAGCCCACCTGGAAGGATTTCTCCTCCGGGACAAACTCCAGGAAGGTTCGGCTGTAGGTCCTTAGCTGGGAGAACGAACTGGTTGATTTTGAGCAGATGCTTTTGGGACTCCGCTAAACATCCAAGTGATCCCACTTCGTCTGAAGCTTCAGCAACCCAAGACAAGATCGGAATTCAGGCGATCGCATGAACTCCGCATGCGATCGAATTTCCTTGCCAATGAATATGCCAGTTGCAGAGGAAAGGGGCAAAGGCATCGTGTCGCACCTTCGATCGATCTGGGAAGCTATCTCAGCAGAGACATTCTCTGCTTGATCCCCAACTGCAGAAGATCCAAACTGGGGAGTCTTGCAAAATCCACTTAGTCTGCCTTTTGCATTCCATTCCAATCGGTTTAGTGCTTTTGGGAAACGTCAGCATCTCCAGGAATTGAACATGGGGCTACACACCATCCTGAAGCCAGCTTCCTTACTGAAGGAATGGACATCTCAGAAATCATTTGAAGAGGACAGGAGGCGGAGGATCCCAAAACTGACTCGAGAAGGCCGAACGTGAATCAATTCCATGTCGAACTACGGTATATATAATACACTGCTTGAAAGAAGCATGGAGGATGATGGAGGATGATACTACCATCATCCTTTGGCCACAAATCTGCAGATGGAAAAACCCGTGGCCCTTGCGCGACCAGCTGTGACCCACACTCCACTGTTATGCCCTCCCCACACGGACGGTGCCTGAGCGGCACGCGCAGCGCGCCCTGCAATACGGACCCGGAGGGTGTGGCCAATGGGGTGCCCGGTTGGTGTGGCCAATGCGAAAGAACCATCAAAAGTCCAACACAAGTTTGAAGGGAATAATGTTCAGCTCATCCCCCTGTCTGCGAAGGAAAACATGTTCCACCCCTTCAGCTGGATGATGGAACCATTGGATGATTCAAAAAACTTCTGCCAAGTGCTTCAGCCTGACATCTACAAAGGACTGAACGGGAATCCGGGTGTTTCAATCACTTCTCACTGTAGATCCCCAGCACATGTGTCTATACAGTGTGTTGCAGCGTTTGGTGCTGAAACTACAAGTACTGATGAAGTCCAATCAAATCCCTACGACGACTCTATTGTTTCAAAAGATGTGCAATGGGAGGGTGACCCAGTTCCTGCCTGTCTTCATTAAGAGCTAGAAAGGCACAATGTTTGCGCTAACCATTTGTTTCAGATGTGGGTCGAAGAAAAACGGTCCTGGCCCAGGACGGCAAAGGTGCTGAGGTCTTGAATCTAGTCAACATAGATCTATATAGTTGAACACTGATGGCTGGCGATGCAAGATATATTGTAAATCTCCCTTCTTGAATCACCGTTGTCTTCGGGGGTGTTCAAGTCAGGTGCGTCTCAGGGGACAAATGGGTGCATTTGAGGGTGCTGCGCTGGATGGCTACCGCTAGTCTGTACAAAACCGTTTTTGGATATGGATGTCTTTGCCTTCTACCCATGGCTGCAGTGCAACATCGCAGAGAGTGCGACAATAAAACACGAGCAGACTCTGCTACGATGTTATGGTTTGACAGGATTCTCCTATGGCCCTCCGGGCTGCCATCTGAGTGTCGTCCTTTTGCCTGGCCCAATGGCAAACGATCCAGACGTGCGAGATGTTGGAATCTTTGAAACTGAAAAACATGGAACCCCTTGCCATTCAAAGCTCCCTGCCGGAAATTCTGAACCCCCCGCCGGATGGATGATATCTAAAGAAAATAATTGATGGTGCTGAAATGATGTCTCTCTGTTTCTGTCTCCCGACCACTGATCTTGAAACTGGGCTGCGCCGTTCTGTAGGCTCCACCCCACATGTGGCACACCACATGAAGGCTCCACACCACAGAATCCATCTTTGCACAGCCATTGAGATGGGAAATAAAACATACCCTAGGGATCCAAGTACCTTCTCAGAAGGCACCTGGACCCTCCAAACCCACCCCAAACACCTTCTGAGAAGGTACTTGGATCCCTAGGGATATATTTTTACAATTCAAGCCCTTGACTGGTCGAGCATAACGTCATTGACCTTGGACACCTCTAGTGGAAAAAAACGAACAAAACCCTTCGAAACAAAGGTCACTCTTTCCGGCCGGAACCCACCCCGCGTGGCATGCGGGGCCGAAGCGCAGCTTTTCCACTGATTCGCGTGGGTTTCCAGTCCAAGCTGCCTCCGCTAGATCATTCCTGGAGGCCAAAGGCGTCCAAAGGCGCTGCACAAAAAATTGCCAAGACGATCTGTTTGTCCACGTCACGAGTCGGGGATTCGTCCGACAAGGAATAAAAGCCTCCAAAACTCAAGTTCTATCCAGAAAAAAAAGGTTTTCATGTCTAGGTGTTTTTCTTTAATACCGAGTCATGTGGAGCGTTTGATGAATCAAGAGTCTACATGATGTGTTCCATGTGTGTTAAATAGAGGGTACTCATGGAACACACCAAATGCACATGGGATGTTTTTTGTGTGCACAGCAAGGAAGGAGTTGGAAGCCTGAAGCGGAGGGCGAAGGCTTGCCGTGACTGGTATAGACTCCACTTCGGGATGCTTGAGATAAAACTAAAAACAAGCCCTACTGTACTACTGTTCCCGAAGTCTATACAAGCCTACTGCCCTACTACTGTACTCCTAGTATGTACATTGATACAAAAAGGAAAAACAACTAGACGACGAGTGGCCCGAAAGCATTTTTTCACCGCGTGTGAAGTTAGAGTGTGAGTTGTGTGGAAAGTGTTCAGTGTGAAGTGTTAAGTCTAGTGTGTTGAGTCAGTGCGTGGGTCTCTGTGTGTGTGTATCTATGTCTGTGTGTGTATGTGTCTCTCTCTGTATGTCTCTCTGACGCGCAGGAACACCTTTTTCTGCAAGTTCTTGACCTCTCGCAAGCCACCGACATCTGGGTAGCGCTGCGTCCACGCCTCAAACAACTTTCGCAGTTTGTTCGATGTCACGAACCAAAATCGGACCTTGACCAAAATGTTTCGCGTGTTCCACATTTGGCGACCGATTCGCAAAAACGGGAAACATTCCACTGTTTACATCTAAAAGTCTTCAATGGTGCAAAGCCAGTAGCGTCCTTGCTCCTAGTAGCGATGCCAGGAGCCCCTAGTAGCGTCCTTGCTCCTAGTAGCGATGTGAGGAGCCCCTAGTAGCGTCCTTTTCCTGCTAGCAGCGATGCCAGGAGCCCCTAGTAGCGTCCTTGCTCCTAGTAGTAAGCCCAGGAGCCCCGAGTAGCCTAAGTAGCGTGCAGGCCTCCCAAACATGGCACAGCTTGAGGTCAGGGAGCACGTCCAGGAGGGAAAGCTCCAGGCCTGACGTAACCTGGCCCTAGCGGCCGCGTTTACGCCAGCATGTTTCGCGCTCCCAGTGGCACGGCGCCACGCACACGCACTTCCCACCAAGGCCGTGCAAATCCCCATGGCACTGCGACATCATGAACGTACTTTGGCCACACGGTCTGTCCACACACTAGAAGCAAACATATCGCACGATATCGCCAATGATCCCCCTCACCAGCAACACGCAGCGTTTACGCCAGCATGTTTCGCGCTTCCCAGTGGCACGGCGCCACGTAAACGCACTTCCCACCAAGGCCGCGCAAATCCCAATGGCACTGCGACATCACGAACGTACTTTGGCCACACTTCTCGCTCCAGCTCTGAAAGCTCTTTCCCGCACGACTTTTGTACTACAAACTGGCCACTTCTGAGTCCAGCTCTGCAAGCTCTTTCCCGTACTACTTTTGTACTACAAACTGGCCACTTCTGAGTCCAGCTCCGAAAAGCTCTTTCCCGTACTACATTTGTACTGGCCACTTCTGACTCCAGCTCCAAAAAGCTTCTTCCCGCCCTACATTTGCACTACGAACTGGCCAGGTCTGAGTCCAGCTCCACAAGTGCAGTGCCAAGTCTCCAAAACGAGGGTCTCGTACAAGACTTCCTCCAAAAGTGAAGCGCCCCGTCTCCAAAGCGCGCGCTTCGTGCGATACTTCCTCCAAAATTGAAGCGGCAAGTCTCCAAAACGAGCGCTTCGTACGAGACTTCCTCCAAAAGTGAAGCGGCAAGTCTCCAAAACGCACTCTCGCCTGCATGTCGCGCACTCGACACGCACGATCTCCGCAGAGGGTCGCGCGCACGTCGGACAAATCGCACTCTCGCCTGCATTTCGAGCACTTGACACGCACGATCTCTGCAGAGGGTCGCGCGCGCACCGGACAAATCGCACTCTCGCCTGCATTTTGCACGCTCGACACGCACGATCTCCGCAGAGGGTCGCACGCGGCCCGGACAAGTCGCACTCTCGCCTGCACTTCGCGCACTCCACACGCACGATCTCCGCAGAGGGCTCCGCGCGCATGGGACAAATCGCACTCTCGCCTGCATTTCGAGCACTCGACACGCACGATCTCTGCAGAGGGTCGCGCGCGCACCGGACAAATCGCACTCTTGCCTGCACTTCGCAGCACTCGACACGCACGATCTCCGCAGAGGGTTGCGCGCGGCCCGGACAAATCGCACTCTCGCCTGCATTTCGCACGCTCCACACGCACGATCTCCGCAGAGGGTTGCATTTTCGGTTGTCGCTGTTCGTCCCACTCTCCGCCTTTAACGATAATTTTTAAAGTGGGGGAATGCGTTTCATTAGGATATCTCCCGTGAAACTTTAACACTTGCATGCTTACACTTGGATACTTACACTTGCATACTTGCACTACTTACACTTGGATACTTACACTTGCATACTTGCACTTGGATGCTTTCACTTGCAAACTTTCCCTTGGATACTTCAGTGCCATTGTAAGTATAGAAGTGTAAGTGTTCAAGTGTAAGTATAGAAGTGTAAGAGTATAGAAGTGTAAGTGTTCAAGTGTAAGTATAGAAGTGTAAGTGTTCAAGAGATTTTCCGGAAGAACCCTTCGCAATGCTTTCGGGAAAAGCACGAATGCTGTGCCCACCTCAACGTGGTTGCGACATGTGGTGAATGCTCTCGCTTTGCTATGAACATCTATCAACAATCCTCCACGAGAGCAGCCTCCACGTCACTCGAAGTCACTCCACGCCACAAATGAATCTGTTGTCTTGGCATGGGTGACTAACATCACCATGTCTTCCTCATTTGCTCTTGTGCTGTGGTCATTCTCTTCCCCAAGAGCAAATGGGTATCTTGTATATAATACATGTATATACTGTGTACAAAGTCATTCCTTCGCATGTTGATTCACCAGACGTCCCTGCCATGATCCTGGAAAAATAATGTTTTTTTGTTTGGATCCTCAGAGATGCTTGAGGAAAAGTTGAGGAAAGCTTCGCATTTTGAGAAAAGATCGACGACAACGAACACCCATCGATCGTGGATCGACGATGGGTTTGGCCCGTTTCGACTCTCTGGGTAAAACGTCTTTACCAAGGCACTGGGGTGCGGCAGGGCAGTCATGACAGGGACATTGGGCCGTGAGAGAGGCTGCCTGGATGACAAGGGGCTGTCATTGGTGCAATGGTATTTAAAAAATGCAACACCTCCCGGAGAAGAAAAGCATAGCTCTTGATTCTAGATAGAGTTTCCTATAGTTTCCTTGCTATTGTGAAGATGAACGGCAAATTGAGGAGGAGTACAGATGGCTGTCCGCGGGTTTTAGCTCTTGTTGTTGCCCTACCAGTGGGTTTGGCACCCTGTTTTTGAGCTACGTATCAACCCTTCGCTGTGATCAATTGTGGTTACTGCTCAAAGGCCTACGATGAATTTCACCGCAGAGTGGAAAGCCGCTAAGCCTCGCCATAGCCACGGCCGCAGAGAGGGAGTTCTCGACAGGCCTGCAGGAAACTTACTTCAGCCTGCCGGATTGACTAAAAAAACAGACTAGTTCACGTTGTTGAATATAGCTGTTATAGCACGGAACAAGAACTTGTTCCAACCCAACAGCATCAAAAGCATGCAAGATTATGTACAGTAGCTGAATGTGAATGTAACTGACTATTACTAATTACAACCGTTGATCAAACTTTTATCCAGGAACCATAGCAAATATGAGCACGAACCATAGCAAAAATGTGTCAGGGCAATAAAACAATCCAATAACTATATATAATATTGTATAATTATCATCTTTCCTACTGAACCCAGATCTGCTACCAAAGCCAGAAAGGTCAAACGCTTCAACAGCTCCGACCTATGCAAGGGGGTTTGGAGCCCGCCGGCTTGCATAGCGCTATGCAAGGAGCTCTTATTCGCTCATTAAAAAGGACCACTGCAAACATGGTGCCAGTGCGGGGCTCCAATGCATGGCTATATAATGGTAACTGCAAACAGCCGTCGCAGTCGAATGCTTCACTCGTAGTAGAGGAATGAAACCATATAAATCGGAAGTCTCATGCATTTGCCGGTTTCGTGCACATCTTCAACACTGAAAGGCAAGAACTGCAAGAAGCAGGTAAGCAGGAGTACAGCAATGGTGCAGTATGAAAGAATTTGCCTTTGAACTCACAGTCCTAATCTGTCACACTCGGTTCCACACCACGAAACAATCATAATACAGTAACCCTGACACTCCATAACCCCTAAATATGCCATACATGGAGTGCCTGGGTAACCATATGAAACTACGACAGCAACAGGAAAGAATCTTGGCCATTGGGCGCTGTTGTTCTTAATCAATCTCATTTCTAGCCCTCTTTGAAGGTCAATGAACATCGAAGTTCCACTTTGTTGAGGTCATTCCACACCCTTCCCGGGCTGTCCTATCATGCTCTATCAACGGGCCCTGGTCTTCAGCTTCGGGGGTCGTGGGAGATCGCAAAGAGAAATAAACCCTTCCAGAACTCTTGGCAAACCATTTCCAAGTGCTTCCAAAAAGGGATTGGCCAACATCCCAAGTTCTCAACCGTCCCGCATGTCTCTGACTCTAGCGGCCAACAAGAGGCTAGTCTTTTGAGCTTGAGTTCGACAAGTTTTGGTTGGACACCACTGGAAAAACTCAGACCCAAAAAAGATCACGGTACCCAGTTATCTGGTTCCCCACTCCTTAAGTCAGGTGCAGCGTCTTTGGGAGTCTTGGGCAGGTTGGAAGCCAAATGCCTTGTTTGGTCCATATTTCTACCTGGGCCTTCCAAGTACCTTAGGTAATGGGACATGACCCGAACAAAAGACAGGTACATATTTCTACTCCCGTCCAGGTAGTTGAAACCTGGTAGTTGGCCACACTCTCTTGGTTTTGGGGGACAAAGATCTTCCTTCGCATATGAAGAAACTTGCGCAATGAAGCGAACCTCCGCATCATGGCATAGCCGTTGGGGCGCAGCTCGAAGTCCTCCGCATCATGGTGCTGCGAAAAATTGTCTTCTGATCTGTATCTTATGGGATTAACTAGCAAACATATAAATCTATATATATATATATCATTATATAAATCAGTAAAAACCTATTGCTGCTAATCGGTTACCTCAATTAAGTTTAAAAAAGAAAACAAACAACAAATATATATATATATTTATGACGTCCATTGTGGGGACAGGGACCATCCAATGGGCAATGGAAACCCACAAGTAGTGAGTAGTACAATGTAGTACAGGCATGTTTCATTAATGTAGATCCTCGTTCAAAGCGGAATTCCTCCTCACCTCTTCAGTGCTGTGTTTTTTGAGAGGTCCAGACTATATAGGCTCTGTGGAAGTCAGGTCAGGTGAACAGTTCAACGGCAAAATATATCCTGTGCATCTCAAATGCACAGGGTTGCTGGCCAGGGCCTCAGGATCAGAACTCCGTGAACAAAGTCACCAAATCGCTCACCAAAGCTGTAGCTAGCTCCTCAAGTAGCCACATCACCTGTTAAAATGCACCCGCAATGCTAGGCTTTCATGCAGAATTTCCGAGTGCCAAACATGGGGAGAAAAAAGAACATGTTGCTCAAATCAAGTCTAGAAAAGTTGAGATTTGTTCTCGGGAAGAGAGTCAAAGATGTAGATATGCATCTGTATCATATTAGTATAATATTTATAAAGAAAGTCTAAACAGGGAGAGTTTTGTAAGTCTGTCTGTACAAGAGAGATGTCCGGTTCGAATTGATGTGTTTTTTGCACCTGGGAACATCTCACATGGGAATCAAAAACGCATGCACCATACTCTCCCTCATGACAATTCCCGATCGCATATCTGATTTCCGCAAACTCACGAGGCAAATTCTCTGCCACAGCAGAACCAACCTGGAACGTCAATCCTTTTGGGTCTCTACAGAATATCTAGGTAGTAGCTTCTTGTTCGTAGTAGCTTCTTGTTCCTAGTAGCTTCTTGTTCCTAGTAGCTTCTTGCTCCTCGTAGCTTCTTGTTCCTAGTAGCTTCTTGTTCCTAGTAGCTTCTTGTT